ATTAAAATCAGTAAAATCACTGCTCACTATCTACTTTCTGAATACTCTACCTTGACACACAACATCCCTTATTTCTTGTCATCACTTCCTGCATCCCCAGTGCAGGGGCAGAATCCCAATAATGGCTCCTTATGCTAAACTCTTCTGTGCTTTTTTGTTCCTCCATCCTTCTTCCTGATTTCTCTCAGGCCTTTTTAAAGGCCCTGCTTAAGTTACACTGGTTTTGGCAATTCTTTCTTTCCACACTAACATTTAATTTGTTAGTAAAGTTACAGAAAGTCTTCAACCAACCTTTAACGATAGCACATATTCTGTAATCTTGGGTTCAAAAAGACACAGAACCGGTATGGATTAAGACAGAAAGTAATGGAATTGAAATATCTTTAAGCAATTCAATATTTTATTTATTGTTTTTATTTTATTTTATGTGTATGAGTATTATGCCTGCATGTAGGTAAGTGTACCTGTGTCATGCAATGCCTGTGGAGGACAGAAGATGCTGTCGGTTCCCTGAAACCGGAGTTATGGACAGTTGTTAGCTGCCGTGTGGGTGCTAGGATTCGAACCCAGGTCTTCTGCAAGAACAGTCAATATTCTTAACTGCTGAGCCATCTCTCCAGCCCCAGTAATATAATATTCTAAACACACCATAGCTAGCTGCTGAAAGTCCTCTGCTTTTCTAGAGGGGTATTCATTTTCAACTTACTGTCAAGAAGTATTCAGGTTTCTTTACTGCCCATCTACATTCTAACTACAAGTTGCTCAAAAAGGAGCCAATATTTCATCATAAATAATTTAAATATTTTGCTATTCCAGCTGGCTATCTTTTTGTTATCACATGAGAGCAATTTACATACACAGCTTTAAAAATGTAGATATGTGAATAAGTCAAGAGCACCACCAAGGGTTTCTATTTTTTGCATTTAATTTTTCTTATCTCTGAACTATTGAAAACTTTATTTACTAATTTCCTAAACTATATTAACTGCTAATTTTTTTGTATTGTTTAGAAGAACTTGAACATGTTTAGATGAAAGACAAAAGACCCGAGTCTTGTACTATTAGCTGCATGACCTTAAATGAGTCTTAATATCTTTGGTTTTTCATTACTTATGTCAAATAAAGCATCAGGCTAAATCAGCATTTCTAAATTTTAATTAATTTTTTAAAATTTATTTTAATTTATATGTATGAGTGTATTGCCTGCATGTATATAAGTGCACACATGTGTGTGTAATGCCCATAGAGGCCAGAAGAGGCCATCAGATCTCCCTGGAACTGTAGTTATGGATGATTGGTAGCTGCCATGTCATTGCTAGGAATGGAACCCAGGTCCTCTGGAAGAGCAACCAGTGCTCTTCCATCCTGAGACATCACTCCATCCCCTAAATTAGCAGTTTGAACTTAATATAATTCTATGGAATTATAAGCATTGAAAAGGAAGATAGGAAGCTCACATGGAAAATATTGCACATATAACCACAGATGAGAGTAATGTAGTATGTACTTATAAATTCTAGATAGATTGTGTTTTCATTGTCATCTATGATGTCTGAAAATTTTTTAAACAATATAATAATTTTGATATGTTTAATCACTTAATAGCCACATTTCTGTATTTTCAAAGTTGATATGGCTATTTGTATAATTTATTTGACAGTTATTATTGAAATTCTACAGTATTGCAGGCATTGGGAACACAAAAATGAAAAATTAGCCTACATTCAATAATCTCACATTCTATGAGCAAAATAGACATGTAAATGTAACTGCTGGTAATGACTGTGTAACACAAAAATGACTAGTATGTTAAAGGAAGATAAGTTTTGAAAATTTGCTGACAAGGATGGTAAGAAAGAATCATTGACTTATATATGCAACATGATCTGGTATGCATGTGTGGGGGGGAGTGGGGGTGTGCGTGCGTGCATGCATGTGTGTGTTTGTGTGCATGCATGCATGTGTGCATGTTTAATGGAGTAAAATCCCCCACTGTCATCCTCATGTCTCTTACTGGGTAAGACTTTGGTGCTGGATGAAAAGGTTCGCAAAGAATGAGTTTTTATGTGATCTCAATTATAGTAATATCCTCCTTGTTGAGTAAAAGTGAATGAAATGGAATTTCCTTCTAGCTGTTCTTTCCTCTTACTTTTAATAGCCATCACAATTAAAACTGTATGAAACAACAGGTATTTCAACAGAAAGGTGTACATAGTTATAACACTTTAGATCAAATATTTTAAACGATAAACACCTTGACTCATTTTGTGAGCATAGTTTTAAATCTTTGTAAAAATTATTTTTATTTATTTTACTTTACATGTATGAGAGTTATGTCTGCATGTATGCAAGTGTATCCATGTCATGTAATGTCCCTGAAGGTCACAGAGTGCTCCAGATTCCCCAGAACTGGAGTTACAGATGGTTGTTAGCCACCATGTGGGTGTTGGGAATCGAGCCCAGGTTCTTTGCAAGAGCAGCCAGTGCTTTTAATCACTGAATAAGCTCTCCAGCCCCTCATTTCATGAACATAGTTTTAAAACACCTTCAGAATTGTGTATAATAAAACAGAATTCCCTAATTCTGTCAGTAAAAAGAACATCACTATGACCTTATTAATATGTAATGTCTACAAATGAACAATGTGATATTTTGACTTGCTAAACTACACAAACAATAAAAAATCTTTCATATAATCACCAAAAGTTGAATTTCATAGACAATTTATTTCAAGTATGAGACGTCATTATTTGATCAAATTTAAAGGTATTGTCATTGTTATATATTTACATTCCACATTCTCTTTGTCTTGATAAAATACAGCTATTAGCAAATATGTATAGAGGAGGGGGTCTAAATATGATCAAGATGTATTGCATGAAATGCACAAAAATTCAATTAAAAATTTAAAAAATAAAGCAAACAGGAACCTGAAACCTAGTTTTCATGTTTAAATACTTATGTTGTGGTAGACTTAGCATCTGTTTGGTCATTTCCAGATAGTGGTTCTTAAAGTGAAATGTCCATAATAATGACTTGAGAATTGGCTGAAAGTACACTCCAGAGTCAATGATTTTACAAGTCTTGGGTGGGTCTCAAAATTTGCATTTCTACCATGTTCTTAAGTGGTCCTATTGGTACAGACACCACACCTTGGGGTACACTTTTGGAAGTCCCAATTTATAAGGTACCTATTTGGATCTATTTGTTCTGAAATTTCATCATGCAGAACCTATCCTGGGGCCTTTAAAAACAAGAAAAGTACGGTTTTCCATTTGCCTTCAATCCCGTGTCAATTTTGTGTTGATTCCTAGGTTCTTCTATCACAGTATCATTACCATTAGAATTTTCCACTGTCAAGCAGCAATACACAGGCCATTAGGAGCAATATTTAGCCCATTCACTGGGAGTCTTCCCTCTAATCTCTCCTATTCTTCCCCAGGTCTTTCTCTTTTCTAATAATATCTTTGAAGTACCTGGGCTCTTTCCTCGTCCCACTTGCCAGCAGGTCCAACATGGTCCCTTCTGCTACCCTAAAAGAATACACACACTAAATGCATAGATCATTCCTGTTCATTTACAAGTCAGCCTTTGTTGGAGACTCAATATATGATGATTGTGACAAAATTCTTCACTGATGGCTACCTGTTACAAGAAAGAAGAAGCTAGGAAGAAGTATATCTGATTATTATGGAAGTACTTCTTGGAGAATATAATGAGCTGAGACTGCAGAAAACAAGGCAAACAATGTAGCAAAATGCACTTTAAATACAGAAGCTCTGAGATGGAAATTAGTTTAGACTGTTCTAAGAACAAAAAGAAGCCAGGGGTTAGGGATGAAGTTAGTGCAATAGACAGTGACCAAATAAATATATGTGAAGAAGAGTTCAGAGTGGAACAAGGAGAGAACTTTTTCCCATTTGTAGCTACATATCACACACACACACACATACACATACACATACACTCTCACACATAGACACACAACTCACACCTCTCTCTCTTACACACTCACACACACACACACACACACACACACACACACATGCTCACACAGTTCACAGACTGGGAACCTCCGTATACACACAATGAAAGCTAACATTGTCCCACTGTTCACCATGAATTAAGGTATTGATGGTATATGAGTAAGAAGAAACTGAAAGCTAGTATCCGAATTCACTAGCTAGACTTTGGATATAGCTGTACAAAGCACACTGAATTGCCCACACTCTTATTTCAGAACGTGTATCCTATAGGTCTTAGCAAGATGTCTTCCTTATAAATGCTGAATTAAAGAACTTCCTATGCATTGCTATGTCATTATGAAAATGTACAATGCTTTCTTGCTCAATAAATTAAAAATTTAGAGTGAAAATGGAGCAAAGTCAGGTTAGAAATATGTTTCACCTTAGTCAATAAAGACCATGTTCTCAAATAATCAGATGCAAAAATATCAGATGCTTCTGATAAAATCAGCAGAATTTTCAGCAAAATAATTTCCAGCAAAATAATGGTGTATGACACACACACACACACACACACACACACACACACACACACATACACCTTTAAGCAATTGGAGAAAACAGAACCAGCTATTTGCCTAAAGCAAGAGCTAAGTTTTCAACACCATCCTCAAGAGAAGCATCGAGCTCATGATAATTGACCATTTGAAAAACATTTTTGTTCTCATACCATTGGCCTCTAGGTAAATCTAAATGCATCTGAATTGTTAAAAGTATTAACAGGGTTTACTTTTTCAAATAAGGAAAATAAGTCTACGCTTTTATGTTTACTCTATAGATATTGAAATTTTAAGTGTTTTCTATCAACAAAATACTTTTCAAGCATCCGCAATATATTTTTATGTTCTTGCAAATGAAATCACTTTGGTTTTTAAACATTGCAAAATAATCGTGGCTTACTTTGCAAAACTCTATGGCCTTATTTATAAGATGTTGTTATATACCCATCACCACTGTGTATGCTGATGAAATTACCTGTCTGCATCCACTGTCACATCATGAACTCCTCTCTGTATAACATCTCTGGAAGCTGCTGTGTCTGGTAGTCGGTTCAGACTTCTAGTATACAGGTTAAGCCCCCCATCCGTCATATATCTGAAATGACAACACATTAACATAAAATTAAATGACATTATTTCCTTATTTATATGACTTAATAAATGCATTGTATTCTGAATTTTCAATAACAATTCAAAATTATTACTTCTCTTTAAAAAAATTTTTATTATTTTTATGTGTATGTGTGTACTGCCTGTGTGTATGTAAATGCACTCATGTCATGCAATGCCTGTGGAGGATAGAGAGGCTGTCTGATCCCTGGAACTGGAGATAGGGACAGTTGTTAGCTGCCATGTGTATGCTGGGATTCGAACCTGGGTCTTCTGCAAAGAACAGCCAGCATTCTTAACTTCTGAGCCATCTCTCTAGGCCCTATTATTACTTTTCTATATGAATAGTCTTATCAGAAAGAATTTATTTTACACTATAGTAAAAAATCAATATTCTTTCCTATAACAGGTAAACAGTCTATCATAAGCTATTTTTCTCTTCTATTACCAATATTTTGAACAGGTTGGGGATCATAACTTATACAAGTAAAAGTGAGGTGACTTCATTTTTCAATGCCATTTTTGCATACTTGAATGTCATAGGATTAATAAAACATTACTAAACTAAATGTGTTGGACAAGTAAGGTGTATGAGTTACTTTTCCGTTGCTGTGATAAAACACCATGACCAAGGGAATTTCACCAGGATCATGGGGTGTTGCTTTGACAAACCAGACCATATATGTCTCGGATGTTTGGGGAGCTTTCGTCTAGAAAATTGCTTGGAGCTCAGTGAGCTGTTCTATAGGAACTTGGAAATAATACTAAAAGAGGTGTGATAGAGGCCTGGCTTGTGAAGCTTCAAAAGGAAGAAAAGACTCTATTAGGGCTGTTTGTGTCGAATTAAGAATTTTTGGACGTGAAACCTTTTGTGCTTTTCTGGGATAATTGATGCTGGTTACTTGGGGCTGAAAATCAACTGTCAGTAATGAGAGACTGGCATCGTTGAGGTAAAATCTTCTGGGAAGTATTTCCTCAGAGTCAGCACACAGAAGCTGTGGTCCAGAGAGGGTCCAAGTCTCCATTTCAAGCTGGAAGTGGGACTTGGAAATGTGTAAGAGCTTCCTATATTGTTCTGGTGTTGAAGGAGTGAAGGAGTCATGGAGACGAACTGTGGCTTTGCACCCTGAGAATCCAGGAATAACTCCATTAGTAAAGGTACAGTCTCAGTTTCAGTAGGCTTCCCAGCATATTGGAGATGCCAGGACCAGGGGAATACCACCAAGGGCAGTGGCAGGTATGGCGAAGAGCTTTCCTGAGCCTATAAGGCAAGGTGTGTGTGCAGTGTGAATGGCAGAGATAGACAATTGGTGCTGCCCAAGTCCTTTGGAGCCTAGAAGATCATGAGTGACTCCCCGATGTCCAGTCTCGAGCTACTTTGCTGGACTTTGGTTTTGCTTAAGTGTGCCTGATTCTTCCTTTTGAAATAAGACAGTGCTTGTTTTGCATTTTATAGGAACTCAGTTAAAAGACTTGAAAAGCGACTGAGCTTTTAAAGTGTTTGGATTTTTTTAAGGACTGTGGAATTTTTAAAGTTTTATTGCTTTATATTGTGATATTAAGAATAACATCATATCCTGGGGTCAAAAAATGGAAAAGATGTGTGTTAATAGCAGTGTGTTTGTGTGTCTAATTGACAACGGGTCAAATGTGCTGGATAGCTTCTTTTTTTTTTTTTTAATTCAGGGCTTAGGACTGAACCCAGGGCTATCCCCAACCCTTGTGCTGGATAGCTTTAATTGTCAGTTTGATACACTGGTTAGCAGGAACCTCAAAAAATGAATTTTCTTCATTGGATTTTCCTGTAGTCATGTCTGTAGAGCATTTTCTTGATGGTTAAGTGATGTGGGAGCACCCAGTCAACTGTGGGCAGTGCCACAACTGGACAGTTGGTCCTGTATTCTATAAAAAAGCAGGCTGAGTACAGGTCAGGGGAGCAAGCCAGTAAGCAGCTATTCTCCATAGTCTGTGGTCCAGGTTACTGCCTGAGTTCCTGCCTTGATTCTTGATGATGGATGGTGCTTACAAGCCAAATAAACCCTTTCCTCCCCAAGTTGGTTATGGTTAGTGTTTTTAATCACAGCAATCGAAAGCAGACTAGAATATAAAGGTTATGCCACAATTGGTCAATGTCATAAAAATAGTAATAAAAATATATCAAACGTTCTATATGTTGCCAGGATTTATTCTGTCATTTACATGTAACAAAAGTATCCTGATTTTAGAGACGAAGAAAAAAATACCTGCTACAAAGTTAAAAACTTATATAGCATTACTCAACCAGCCATGGAAATGATGATAAATTAATCTAAAAGTCAGCTCCAGAAACCAGGGCATAATCTTAGCTAACACAAAATGTTTTCTGAGCTCAAGGGCTACACTGTTGTCTCCATTTTCTGTCTTTGAGATTTCCTTGTCACTATCCAAACATTATTATACAGAGGGTTAATAAATTCTGATAGTTGTGGTGGAGATCACCACAGAAACCCACAATGGGCCAACATGAAGAGAATAAGAGTCTGTGAAGTGCTCTGTCCTAAATGAGACATCTATAATCACAGGCCTCTTCCAATGGTTCAGGGTGTGTTTCAGAAGAGGAGGGGGAAAGATTATGTTTGATTTTTCAAATAGGATCTCATTAAGGACCGGAGGCAGGTTCTGAACTCATGACCCTCCTGCTTGCTGCCACGCATGACAAACTGAGATTGATCCCAGAATCCACATAGTGGAAGGAGAGAACTGAATCCAGTGACAGGAACCCCATAGAAAACACACACACACACACACACACACACACACACACACACACCATAATACATAATAACTAAATAAATAAATGTAAAACTTGTAATGCTAAAACTATTAGAGTACGTAAATAGATAAAACACACTAAATCACAGGAATAGGCAAGAACTTTCTTAACAAGACTCTAATAGTACAGGAAATAACCCCAAGAATTGACAAATGGGATTGTATGATGTTACAAAGCTTCTGCTACAGCCAAGCAAACCATCAGCAAAGTGAACAGACAGCCTAGAAAATAGAATAACTTTGCCAGCTATGCTTCAGACACAGGTTTGGCATCGAGAATATATAAGGAACTGCACAAATTAAAGAATCAAACTCCATATGTGCTTCTGGTCATTTCCTTTCAGACATGTGATGGTCTCTTCTCAGAGCTTTCTGTTTCCTACTGCTCTTGTAGAGATGCAGGTTCTGTGATGCTCCTTGGATTCGTGGTTACTTTATTCTAACGACTTAGGCTCAAGTTAAGATACCATCCTGTCATCAGGCTCTTTTTTTTTTTTTTTGTAAATAATTAATGATCACTTAATTTTTCTTTCTCTTTTATTTTTTTGAATTTTCCCTTGGTTACTCTGCTTAAAGTTAGTTCTTGGGAAGATCCAAAGATGATGCTTCCACCATATTTTCCACCATATGCTTCTATCAGACCTGCCTTCTTCCTAGAACTCCGTTTCTATATCAACATTGCTTGTCAGCTGCTGTATGTCATAATTAGCTATTTTTAAACTACATGCACATAGAGAATTAAAAATGATCCTCAAAGGAATATACTCAAAATATAGTTGAGTATCTTTCTTTAGAAAAGTGAGAACATGAAGAAACACCCCTAGATCAAATGCATTACCTAAGAAAAATATGTTCATAATGAATGACTGTTTTGATCCATTTTTATGACTTTATTAAAAAAGATTCACAGGACAGAAACCTGTGAATGCAAACAGAGAATCTTGTAGCATCAGGATGCCATGAAGGTTAAGAGAACAGCCTGGAGCCAGATGGGAGGGTTTAAGTAGGGTGCTGCCACTTAATAGCCATGTGGGCTCTGAAAGAATTTTAACTATCTATGACTTAACTGCCTCAGCTGTAAAATAATTATAAGATATGTTTACTTCTACCTATGGTGAGACAGTGGTGAAAAATATTACAGATGAGGATATATGTGCATGTGAATACACATATGTGTGTATATACATGTGTATGTGTATGTCTGAATACATATATGAGCCTATCACGTAATAAACACTATGAAAATGTTCACTACTTGACAGCTATTTATTTCCATGAAAATCTCTGTATTAGCACAAAATGGCATTTAACTTGAGTATGAAATTGAGGAAAAACCAATATTGGGAATCTGTGGTTCAAAAGGTAGACACTGTTAGCCCAGCTCATTATAGTGCATATTCAGTCATTCCAAGTTTAGAGAAGGAGAATGGAGGGAAAAGGAAAAGCAGGATTAAAGGATATTCTAATCCTTATTTTCAAATATCATCCTTCAGAATTCTTAGATTTTTTTATGGTTGAGAAAATGACTCAAGTAGAATTTTAATATTAGGGTTACTAATAACTTCAATTTCCACCCAATTAAGATGTGGGACTTTTCTGTTTATTTTCCAGAGTGTTTCTTATCTTCTTCATAAACACAGACTTTTTCAGACTTATTATAAGAGGCCTTCCTCTGACTAATTCTTAATTACTGACAGATTCACATTCCCAAGTGTGTAAAGTAATTTCAAAAAGAAAAGTCACAGATAAGCTTCTTCACGGTTCAAGAAATTTTGAATCCTCAGAATATCAACTAAATAATTTTCTAATCTCTATCTAGAGTGCAACTTCATTCTCACTTGACATCATGATATTCCTTGTGTTGTCCTAAGGAAAAATACTAAATTAAACATCTTCATTATTGTGTCTATGGAGCCTTTTGTTTCTTTAATCAGCAGGAAAAAAACTTGAAAAATTGTAACAAGAAAGATAATTTATGGTTCCTATTTTACTGAGTTCTAACACAGTCATATCCATGTCTTTTTCTCTCACTCACAGAAAGTTGTATCAAATTACAGTTTTCCTGGATATCTCTTGCCCTCTAGTTTACCCATGTTTAAACTCTACGTTGAGATTTAGGGACATGCCCTACAGATGCCAACGACGGCAACTAAATAATGTAATGAGCAAGGCCAG